TTAAGGTCAGCGCATTGCAGATACTACAATAGGTAGTTTAAGGGTCAGCGCATTGCAGATACTACAATGGGTAGTTTAAGGGTCAGCGCATTGCAGATACTACAATGGGTAGTTTAAGGGTCAGCGCATTGCAGATACAACAACGGGTAGTTTAAGGGTCAGCGCATTGCAGATACTACAATGGAAAGTTTAAGGGTCGGCACATTTCAGATACTACAATGGGTAGTTTAAGGGTCAGCGCATTGCAGATAGTACAATGGGTAGTTTAAGGGTCAGCGCATTTCAGATACTACAATGGGTAGTTTAAGGGTCAGTGCATTGCAGATATTACAATGGAAAGTTTAAGGGTCAGCACATTTCAGATACTACAGTGGGTAGTTTAAGGGTCAGCGCATTGCAGATACAACAACGGGTAGTTTAAGGGTCAGCGCATTGCAGATACTACAATGGGTAGTTTAAGGGTCAGCACATTACAGATACTACAATGGGCAGTTTAAGGGTCAGCATATTGCAGATACTACAATGGGTAGTTTAAGGGTCAGTGCATTGCAGATACTACAATGGAAAGTTTAAGGGTCAGCACATTTCAGATACTACAATGGGTAGTTTAAGGGTCAGCGCATTGCAGATAGTACAATGGGTAGTTTAAGGGTCAGCGCATTTCAGATACTACAATGGGTAGTTTAAGGGTCAGCGTATTGCAGATACTACAATGGAAAGTTTAAGGGTCAGCACGTTGCAGATACTACAATGAGTAGTTTAAGGGTCAGCGCATTGTAGATACTACAAAGAAAAGTTTAAGGGTCAGCGCATTGCAGATACTACAATTGGTAGTTTAAGGGTCAGCGCATTGCAGATACTATAATGGGTAGTTTAAGGGTCATCGCATTGCAGATACTACAATGGGTAGTTTAAAGGTCAGCGCATTGCAGATACTACAATGGAAAGTTAAAGGGTCAGCACATTGCAGACACTACAATGGGTAGTTTAAGGGTCACCGCATTGCAGATACTGCAATGGAAAGTTTAACAGTCAGCACATTGCAGACACTACAATAGGTAGTTTAAGGGTCAGCGAATTGCAGATACTACAATGGAAAGTTTAAGGGTCAGCGCATTGCAGATACTACAATGGGTAGCTTAAGGGTCAGCGCATTGCAGATACTACAATGGGTAGTTTAAGGGTCAGCGCATTGCTGATACTACAATGGGTAGTTTAAGGGTCAGCGCCTTGCAGATACTACAATGGGTAGCTTAAGGGTCAGCGAATTACAGATACTACAATGGGTAGTTTAAGGGTCAGCGCATTGCAGATACTACAATAGGTAGTTTAAGGTCAGCGCATTGCAGATACTACAATAGGAAGTTTAAGGGTCAGCGCATTGCAGATACTACAATGGGTAGTTTAAGGGTCAGCGCATTGCAGATACTACAATGGGTAGTTTAAGGGTCAGCGCATTGCAGATACAACAACGGGTAGTTTAAGGGTCAGCGCATTGCAGATACTACAATGGGTAGTTTAAGGGTCAGCGCATTACAGATACTACAATGGGCAGTTTAAGGGTCAGCATATTGCAGATACTACAATGGGTAGTTTAAGGGTCAGTGCATTGCAGATACTACAATGGAAAGTTTAAGGGTCAGCACATTTCAGATACTACAATGGGTAGTTTAAGGGTCAGCGCATTGCAGATAGTACAATGGGTAGTTTAAGGGTCAGCGCATTTCAGATACTACAATGGGTAGTTTAAGGGTCAGCGTATTGCAGATACTACAATGGAAAGTTTAAGGGTCAGCACGTTGCAGATACTACAATGAGTAGTTTAAGGGTCAGCGCATTGTAGATACTACAAAGAAAAGTTTAAGGGTCAGCGCATTGCAGATACTACAATTGGTAGTTTAAGGGTCAGCGCATTGCAGATACTATAATGGGTAGTTTAAGGGTCAGCGCATTGCAGATACTACAATGGGTAGTTTAAAGGTCAGCGCATTGCAGATACTACAATGGAAAGTTAAAGGGTCAGCACATTGCAGACACTACAATGGGTAGTTTATATCACCGCATTGCAGATACTGCAATGGAAAGTTTAAGAGTCAGCACATTGCAGACACTACAATAGGTAGTTTAAGGGTCAGCGAATTGCAGATACTACAATGGAAAGTTTAAGGGTCAGCGCATTGCAGATACTACAATGAGTAGTTTAAGGGTCAGCGCATTGCATATTCCACAATGGAAAGTTTAAGGGTCAGCACACTATATATACAATGGAAAGTTTAAGGGTCAGCACATTGCAGATACTACAATGGGTAGTTTAAGGGTCAGTGCATTGCAGATACTACAATGGAAAGTTTAAGGGTCAGCGCACTGCATATACAATGGAAAATTAAGGGTCAGTGCATTGCAGATAGTACAATGGGTAGCTTAAGGGTCAGGGCATTGCAGATCCTACAATGGGTAGCTTAAGGGTCAGCACATTGCAGATACTACAATGGGTAGCTTAAGGGTCAGCACATTGCAGATATTACAATGGGTAGTTTAAGGGTCAGCACATTGCAGATACTACAATAGGTAGTTTAAGGGTCAGCACATTGCAGATACTACAATGGGTAGTTTAAGGGTCAGCACATTGCAGATACTAAAATGGGTAGCTTAAGTGTCAGCACATTGCAGATACAACAATGGGTAGCTTAAGGGTCAGCACATTGCAGATACTACAATGGGTAGTTTAAGGGTCAGCGCATTTCAGATACTACAATGGGCAGTTTAAGGGTCAGCGCATTGCAGATACTACAATGGGTAGTTTAAGGGTCAGCGCATTGCAGATACTACAATGGAAAGTTTAAGGGTCAGCACATTTCAGATACTACAATGGGTAGTTTAAGGGTCAGCGCATTGCAGATACTACAATGGGTAGTTTAAGGGTCAGCGTATTGCAGATACTACAATGGGTAGTTTAAGGGTCAGCGCATTGCAGATACTACAATGGGTAGTTTAAGGTTCAGCGCATTGCAGATACTACAATGGGTAGTTTAAAGGTCAGCGCATTGCAGATACTACAATGGAAAGTTAAAGGGTCAGCACATTGCAGACACTACAATGGGTAGTTTAAGGGTCACCGCATTGCAGATACTGCAATGGAAAGTTTAAGAGTCAGCACATTGCAGACACTACAATAGGTAGTTTAAGGGTCAGCGAATTGCAGATACTACAATGGAAAGTTTAAGGGTCAGCGCATTGCAGATACTACAATGGGTAGTTTAAGGGTCAGCGCATTGCATATTCCACAATGGAAAGTTTAAGGGTCAGCGCACTATATATACAATGGAAAGTTTAAGGGTCAGCATATTGCAGATACTACAATGGGTAGTTTAAGGGTCAGTGCATTGCAGATACTACAATGGAAAGTTTAAGGGTCAGCGCACTGCATATACAATGGAAAATTAAGGGTCAGTGCATTGCAGATAGTACAATGGGTAGTTTAAGGGTCACCGCATTGCAGATACTACAATGGGTAGCTTAAGGGTCAGCACATTGCAGATACTACAATGGGTAGCTTAAGGGTCAGCACATTGCAGATACTACAATGGGTAGTTTAAGGGTCAGCACATTGCAGATACTACAATTGGTAGTTTAAGGGTCAGCACATTGCAGATACTACAATGGGTAGCTTAAGGGTCAGCACATTGCAGATACTACAATGGGTAGTTTAAGGGTCAGCACATTGCAGATACTACAATGGGTAGTTTAAGGGTCAGCACATTGCAGATACTACAATGGGTAGTTTAAGGGTCAGCACATTGCAGATACTACAATGGGTAGCTTAAGGGTCAGCACATTGCAGATACTACAATGGGTAGCTTAGGGGTCAGCACATTGCAGATACTACAATGGGTAGTTTTAAGGTCAGCACATTGCAGATACTACAATGGAAGGTTCTGTAACTCGGAATGATAGCTGTTTTGAACAAAACACCGGGGTACTAGCTGCTTTGCCAGCGTCCTTGCATCCATTGGTAAATATTGATCGGTGATGATTGTATTTACTTAATGATTGTAGGTATTCCTGTTAATGTAAAATAATTGTTGATGTAAAATAATTGGTTTGTATCGGACGTTTTAAAACTTCTTAGGGACTAACCAACCGCCAGAGAGTCGACAAAAGTCGGTATGGAGAGATGATATCAAACGCTGAACGTTTAGCCTCAATATGTGGTTTAATCTGAATCCAAAGAAGGGGAGCCAGCTTTGGTTTCTTATGAAAGTGTTCCGCACAGATAGGATTAAAAACAGGGTTATAAGCAGGATTTGAAGGATTGGAACAGAATTTAATAATGTACTGAAGGGACAATTTAATGCGACATTGTTTTAAAGAACAATAGGGGATGTTGGAAATGCATCCAATCATTATCTGAGACCTTGGATCAGGTCTCTTTGTTTTAAAATTACTCTTGCAGGACCCAGATTTTACAATGGAGCCATAGTTCAATTTTGTGCGAACCAGTGATCTATAAAAGTGATGGAGAGTTGTCTGATTCCCTCCCCACTTTGTATTTGACACAATGTTCGACCGACTTAATGCCTTCAGGCATTTGAGAAGATCATAAGGACAGAAGAACAGAGACGGCAGAAGTATTTTTAAGTATTTTAGAATGTTTTCATATGTTGTTATCTAAATCGTCAAATGAGATAATAGCAACATTATGAAACAGACCCTTATTGGAAGTAACAAATGCTGGACATGTTCAGGAAAGCCACGGTTCGATGTTGAGTGATGGTGGTTTTTAATCTTTATCCTTCTGTCACTGTCCAGACTGCTTTCCATATTGTCAAGTTGCCTTACCGGTTGACACAACATTAAGTACTGACAGTGACGTAGGAGTTCCCTACTTGCAAATATTTTCCATTGGTCATAGATTATGTTACTAACAAAATAAATCCGTGTATGTTTATCTTTTATCAATAACATTAAGTACACAGATATTATGTTTGCTTTATGGATAGATCAGTTTTAGCCATGGCGACCAAGGAAGACAGTGATGCAGGAGTTCCAATGACAGAGTTACATTGTCAAGGAGATGACAGAAGTGAATCCACACCACAGAGAGAATCATGGAGCAGACATTTGGACTACATGCTGACAATGATTGGCTACTGTGTTGCATTGGGAAACCTGCTGAGGTTCCCCTACATCTGCAACAGGAACGGTGGAGGTAAGACTGTATGTAGTTATTTCTTATGATTCTTGGAGACAGCAAATTGCGATACCTGTATAATCTGTGACACGATTCGATAAAAACACACACGATCCAATAAACATGCAAATAACCATTTTTAGAAAGCTGTATAATTTTAAGGCTTACATTCCCACGTTATTTCTGTTGAATAAGAGTTGGATGTGTTTGTAGAACAACATGGCTGTACGGTTAGTCTGCATCTTTAAGGACGGCATCAGATTAAACTCAATGATCGATACGATCGCTAAGATGAGGTCTCAACGCATCCTATTTTATGTTAGGGTTAATGGAGATCAAGGCAAGACTACAGAATACCGGATACCTTCCGCCATCTTGGAAAGCTTATTTTAGAACTGCGCACAAAATGTGCGCAACTGAGTTCCTTAGTAACGGCGTTTTGTTTACGTTGCATACTCGACATTACGAGCATTAGGGTTTAGGGTTAGGGTTTAGGGTTAGGTTTAGGGTTAGGGTTAGGGTTTAGGGTTAGATTAGACATTAGATATGATGCTTACCTTCACAGAACGAAATCGTCAGCACTGTCGTTAGCATCGGGTTGCAGGGAAGCGAAGCTCCAACTCCCAGAATTCCGTAGGTCCCTTTTTTCAAAGGCGCATATATTTTTCATTTGTGATAACTTACCTTTCATTTTAAAAATCGTTGGTTAGTTTTACTAACCGGAAGTCGTCTCAATCAATCCGATTTCAATGGTTATTTTTCATTTTAATGCTCGCTTATTGTTTCGAATAATATAGCTCGTGCTTCCCTATAATAGGAAGTGCGCGTGCTAACAAAGAATATGGTTGGTAGGTATCCGGTATTCTGTAGGTGTACCGAGATCAAAATGTGTTTATGAATATTCCTACATATTTCCATTAATTATTATAATCGAAGTGTATAATTCAAGACTGACCCAGTAACTGAAAGTTTACGCCTAGTATATATCATGGATGTGTCAAATATCATGGTGACTTTGAAGGTAACATACTCATAAAATTACCCCTTAAATAGTTCCATTCAGTTGAGAATTCTTGACATGGAATGGGGTGAGTTAATTTGGCTTGATGCCCCTTTGAACCGTGTTCCCTTCCTACCACGACGTGTCAACTTGATGCGGAATAAAAGCCTGACGAGATACGTAACCTTGAAGCATGGTCGAGTTTAATCATTACATGAACACATGACTACATATTCCCCCAGGAGCTTTCCTCATCCCCTTTGTCTTGATCCTGGCCATCGCTGTGTTCCCCTCATTCTTCCTGGAGGCGACCATCTCGCAGTTCTCGGGAAAGGCTGCCAAACAAGTCTGGAGCTTCTGTCCTATGTTTAAAGGTCAGTGACAATATTCTGACCAATACGATTGCATATACTATATACAAATGATAGGGATTCACATGTGAGCTTTATATAATCACTTCTGTTGGGTTATTTTCGTGTTTGCAATGTGTATGCCTGATTTGTTCCCTTATTATCAGTTGTTTACAGTCCACTGACAGGTTTTATATATAGAACAAAACTGACATTGATGAGAATACGCTTATATTACTAGGTGTCATAAATAAAGGGTCAAATGATATACAGCACATGTAAAGAAACGTTTTTCAGAAATTAATGTGTCGACAAACTTGACACTTCGAGACATAAAGACAAATGTTCAAACAGCACTAGCAAACAGTAATTGTATACACCAACCCACCAAAATGAAAATGACAAACATGAAGCACTCGGTCATTCAGTATTTTGTGTACCATCCTCGCGCGTCAACTGCACAGGTGCACCTTGTTCTCATGCTCCTTTTCAAGTTCATAAGGAAAGTGTGCATTCCATTCCTCTACTTGAGCTCTGCGGAGTCCTGAGAAATCCACGCCGAACGAGTTCATCCCAGGAATGCTCAATATGGTTGAGGTCTGGCGAGCATGCTGGCCACTCCATCAGCTCTACACTACTACACTGCTGCTTAAGAAATTCCGTGACAATCCTGGCCCTATGAGGCCAAACGTTGTTGTCTTCTCGTAAAGAGGGTCAACCATAAAAGCCATGTATAGCTTGCAGGAATGGTACTGCTACAGGAGCCAGAATCTCGTCCCGATAACGCTGTCCGGTAAGACTACGTACAGTGGAGTATGTCCAGTAGGTGTTATCCCTGCCCAAACCATGACCAACGCTCCGCCAAATCGGTTATGCATGGATACAATTGAATCTGTGACGCTCTCCATAATGACGATAAATCCTCTGCCGACCATCATGGAAGGACAAATTGAAACTGCTTTTATCTGTGAAGACCACACGAGAAAATTGACGTTGATTCCAGCGGCCATGACGTCTACTCCTTCTCAAACGCGTATGTCTGTGACGTTGTGTTAGTGGTGAACGAACTGCAGGTCACCTATAGCGGAGTCCGGCTGCCTTTAAACATTGACCAACGGTGGTCCTGGATACATCGAAGTGTTTTGTCTGAAGATCTGCTGCGTTAAGGAATCTGTTACGTAACGCAGTGTTAATCTTCTGCCTATGATCTCGGACTTTTGTTATTCTGGGACGACCTGGTCGACGTGCATATTCCACGGACCCATTGGTTCGAAATCTCTGCCACAGTCTACCAATAGCACTCTGACTCACATTAAAGCGGACAGCAACCTGCCGCTCAGTTTGACCGGATTCCAAAAGGTCTATAGACCCCTTCCAGCAAGTGTCAAAAAACGTCTCATTTTAACCTGCGATTTCAAACAGGTAACTGAACAGTAAAAAAGCAGCAATGCATGTGTATTCCCATGGATAGAGCTACATGGACGTGCAAATCATTGAGACTAAGTGGCAGGTGGGACTTCTATATTGACAATTTGAATAAGCAATGAGCCATTTGTAACAGAATGTATCGGACGTTAAAGAACGTAAGCATGACCTTTGAATGGCTTGACGTATTTTACATACTGTTAAGAAAGTTTGTAAAACATTCAGTTGTATCTATTTCAAACAAAAGATTTTACAACTTTTAAGAAATAGTGTTACCAATAGTGTGAGCCTTCATTAATGAACAAAACTGACTCTGTTGATTCAGTTGAACCGTCATACATACTGCAACTACTACGTCTCCCACTACAGATAAATTTACCACTACAGCTAAATTTACCACTACAGCTACTTTTACGACTACAGCTACATTAACCACCACAGCTACATTTACCACCACAGCTACATTTACCACATTTACCACTACTTCTAGATTTACCATTACAGCTAAAATTACCACTACAGCTACATTTACCACCACAGCTACATTTACCACTACAGCTACATTTACCACCACAGCTACATTTACCACTACAGCTACATTTACCACCACAGCTACGTTTACCACCACAGCTAAATTTACCACTACAGCTACATTTACCACCACAGCTACATTTACCACCACAGCTACATTTACCACTACAGCTACATTTACCACCACATCTACATTTACCACCACAGCTACATTTACCACCACAGCTACATTTACCACCACAGCTACATTTATCACTACAGCTACATTTACCACCACAGCTACATTTACCACCACAGCTACATTTACCACCACAGCTACATTTACCACTACAGCATCATTTACCACTACAGCCACAATTACCACTACAGCTACAGCTACATTTACCACTACAGCTACAATTACCACTACAGCTACATTTACCACTACAGCTAATTTTACCACTACAGCTACATTCACCACTACAGCTAAATTTACCACTACAGCTACATTTACCACCACAGCTACATTTACCACTACAGCTACATTTACCACCACAGCTAAATTTACCACCACAGCTACATTTACCACCACAGCTACATTTACCACCACAGCTACATTTACCACCACAGCTACATTTACCACCACAGCTACATTTACCACTACAGCTACATTTACCACTACAGCCACAATTACCACTACAGCTACAGCTACAATTACCACTACAGCTACATTTACCACTACAGCTAAATTTACCACTACAGCTACATTCACCACTACAGCTACATTTACCGCTATCATCTAACAGTGCCAATTCTACTACCACAACAAGTACTACTACTACTGGGGCGTTGGGTTGGCATACAACTATTACTACTACAACTACGTATGAATTGAACACAATATTCTTGAACGCAACATTAAACCAAATTTCACTTGACTTAACTACAACAACAACTACTACTCCTCCTCCTCCTCCTCCTCCTACTACTACTACTACTACTACTACTACTACTACTACTACTACTACTACTACTACTACTACTACTACTACTACTACTACTACTACTATTACTACTACTACACGTGAAGGTCCGGGTTAGAATGTGCCTTCAGTAACCCATGCTTGTCGTAAGAGGCGGCTAACAGGATCGGGTGGTCAAGCCCGCTGGCCTGGTAGACACATGTCATCGGTTCCCAGTTGCGCAGATCGATGCTGATGTTGTTGATCACTGGATTGTCTGATCCAGACTCGATTATTTACAGACCGCCGCCATATAGCTGGAATACTGCTGAGTGCGGCGTAAAACTAGGCAATGAAATGTTTTTTTCTCTCAGCTTCCTTAAGTGTCAGCAACGAGACTTGTAGCTGGACTTGGTCCAGTTTCATCTGAGTGAATGAATGTTGTTTGACGGTCAAGAGAATGTCTATCCTCTTCAATGAACCACATTCATGCATTAGTTAAATTTTATAAACATAATTGGCCAAATTTATTACCAGTCAGAGCCACAGTTGACAAAAGCATTTCCTTCCTCGTACTGACATTCTTCCATGACGTGAACGTCCCATGTCTCGCGGGGACGGCTTGTGCTTGTGGGCGGCTGTCAATGAGAGCTTCTATATTTTACAGTAAGTGCATGAGCGCACTTACATTTCGTAATCTGTCATTGTAACCAAATTTGAAGCATTTAGCTCCTGCAGAAGCTCGGTTTGTTGCCCTCATCAACATGACATTCCTTGGTGTTACTAAAAAAACCTGGCCAGTGCAACGTAAATTATGATTGTGCATATTTCGTCCTTTGTATATCCCCTACCAAAGTTCAGATCAGGTTATTATATATTGGCTTCTTGTTCCTGAAGAAGGCGTATAAATATTTTTTTGTATTGCCAAGCAGGAGTTGGTGTTGGTGCTGTTGTAGTTGCATTCGTGTTCATGCCCTATTACAACCTGTATCTGGCCTGGCCTATCTACTACATGGTGAAGTCCTGCTCCAGCGTCCTGCCCTGGACAACTTGTGGCAACAGCTGGAACACCGACCTGTGTATTGACTACGGGAATACAACGTATAGCAGAAACAAGACAGCCCTTGCAGGGAATACGTCATATACCATCACCAAATCCGAGAAGTGGGAAAATATGACTTTAGCTCACACACCTGCGGAGGAGTTTTGGCAGTACGATATATCTGTCATGTTATTTTTATAAGGACAAGCTTTGTCAAAATATGTTTCCCGTATACATACATGGTGTTCATGTTTAAAATGAATGTATATAACTGTCAGGTTTGATTAAAGTTATCCAAAGACCAACAAATTCATCGGAGTCGACGCTGTTGTCGTTTTTGTTGTCATGACGGTCAAAGTCACATGACGAATGATATATATGACCAATTACATATTCATGACATATAAAAACATCAATCGATTCACAATTCCGCAGAGTAGTAGACTCGTTTCTCCCTTGTGTTGACCTTTTTGATTGTACATGACATTGATTTTTATTTTTGCCCAAATTATAAGATTCTCTGTACAGAGTTGCGTCCCTTTGTCACACACGAATCCAATGCAGTTCATGTATACTCTACTGCTTGCACTTCTCACCTCACCTACCCTCTATTTTTCTTTCAGCTACAATGTCTTGGGTGTCTCAACGGGCTTGGAGGATGTGGGGTCTGTACAGTGGCACATAGTTGGATGTCTCTTGTTTTCAATTGTCGTAATCTTTATATGTCTTATTCGTGGAGTCAAGTCTGTTGGTAAGGTAATGTGAACAGAAATATCACTGCTAACATCTGTACCAATGCCCTTTTAATATTTAATACACTGATTACGAGCCAACTATTCAACAGAACATCCACTCAGTTACGGATATATCCTTTCAAATTCAGATCTCACAAGTTACAAAATGGGCACGAGTTCTTTGAGAACCAACAGGAAACAAAGCACAATGTTTACTAGGAGTACAGTACTTCAAGTCAGAGCTAAGTCATGCTTGTCGCAAGAAGCCACTGACGGGATCGAGTTGTCAGGCTCAATGACTAATGACTCCCACTTTGATTTAATACCAGTATCACTCAGTGAGATCAGTGGTCCCGAACAAGGCATCCATTATGTTTGTCTATATTGCAATATCTTGGCAGGTATCTGAAGTGGTAATAAAGACCTGTGGACAAACAAAAGAATGATTCCATATTCATAATATTATGGAATATCTTTCCATTTGAAAGCTGAAAATTATGTTTCTGCCACAAGAAATATAATTTCTTTTTATCCAAGCAAAGCAAAAGCTCTGGCTAACTGTCTTTTGAATTCAAAGTCAATTTAAACTTACCAGGATTTTGAAACATAGCATTCGTGGTAGTTTAATTTTGGCTAACATTTCTTACAATCGCCAACAGCTGAAGGGATGGTGTAAATCCAACTAGGCTCCATGCAGGTAGCAAAGGTACTGTAAGTCCCCATGGTCCCTAGTATGGTGATCAACCTTCAGTTGTTGGCAATCTATAGCCTGGTTTTATATTGTACTGTCGTGTATAGTTAAATGTTGTTAGATTTGGTTACTAGTTTAAAATTTCAACCTGTGATAATCTAGTTGTTTTACTGTCCTTCGTTGACAGGTTTTTATAATAATTAATATATATTAATCTGTAACTTGATTTAGTCACGATATGACTGAAATATTCATTGCCAAAGTGACTCACTCACTCACTCACTGTCACAAGTGACTAAAGCGTTTATAAAATATATCATGATCCATAAGCTAATTAAAGCTGTTTGAAATGTTCTCTTGCATTCTTTTGCACTATTCACTTTTGTGTAAAACCTTTTGTATAAAAGGAGTAGTATCAGAAAAAACATGTACTTTGGGCTGGAGGTCTGTTATACTGTAATATAAATCTTGAATCTTGAATTAATCAAAACTCGATTCCTGATATAATTTATCTTTACTGGGATTTATCTAACAAAGTCATTCACATGAGCAATTGAAAGAAATACCCCACATCAATGCATCCATATGACTATGGGGGTTATGTACGATAGCCGAATGGCTAAAGCGAAAGACCCGGGTTCGATTCCCTACATGGGTGCCCATCGTGATATTGCAGGAATGTAGATAAAGTGGTGAAAAGGCATATTCACTCACTTGTTTATTGAATTATGTCTTTACTAGCTGTGTTGTGTAAATATCCGTTATCTTTAATGTAGATAAAACTTGATTTACAAGCTAATAATTAAATTAAAGCTTTCTAAATCCAGATCATATAGACGCCAATAAAGGTCACAATATGTCCAATAACTTGATCTGTCCCACCCTGCAGGCTGTGTACGTGACTGCGCTGCTGCCGTACGTCCTCCTCATCTCCATCTGCATCACGACGCTGCTGCAACCAGGTGCTCTAAATGGCGTGTATTACTTTTTTATACCTGACTTCAACAAACTACTTGATATACAGGTGTGTTTAAGCTGACAAAATTCAAGTCTTTGCAATTCTATGTATTTCCTTACTACCCTCTCCTTCCAATCTTGATGAATACTGACCAAACACGCCTCACGTTCATTTATTAAGCAAATACAATAAAACATGTTACATTTGACCAATTTCTAAAATGGCATTGCGTATTCATTGATAAAAATAGTATTCAATTTCGAGTTTCTGAATTGTGTGACATGCTTGTGAACATGATTCATTTCATAACTTCCGATGTTTTACTTCTATAACATTCTGTGACTATGTTGAGAATATGCTGGGCTATTCCTGCTTCTTCTGATGCTTCCAGATAAATATCAACTCTCTGTTTAAATATATCATACATCAAGTGTGGTATATCTTTGCAGTGTTGATATATACACAAGCACGGCATTACCCTCTACTGACTCTAAACCCTCTAGAAGTGATTACAACAGCAGGTCAAGTTTGATAACCAGTGATATTCACAAGAATGAAGGTCAAACCTAACATCGCCATACTTTTTGCTAGAGGAAATTTTTATGGAGAGTAAAATATTGCCATCATCTGTAATATGGCGCGGTGGGCGAGCTTGCTAAGGCGCCAGGCTAGTGATCCAGCGAGGTTGAGGTGCCGGGATCAAGCCCACCTGTGACCGGGTGTAAAAACCTTGGAGTCAACTTTGTGTGCAGACTCTTTCAGTGTTGTCACAACCCCTAGTGTGCAGTACACAACCCTGTGCACTTAAAAGAACCCACGAACCCGTTGGTATATGACCAGATGGTGGCCACATGAATACGTGCAAACACCTAGTTGCGGGTACAGCAACGTGCAGTAAACTTGGACAAAGAACTGTGACTATGTGTCCCAGTCCACCCAACTGTGAATGGGTACCTCGTTAGGATGAGAAAGCCACAATAACTCGGTGCGCCCAGTGGCAGCAAGAGTTGTATACTCCCCAGGGAGTTGAGATTGATAATACGATGTGTCGTTGAGATTGATAATACGATGTGTCGTTGAGATTGATAATACGATGTGTCGTTGAGATTGACATCCAATGATCGAGGGGAAAATACCAGCGCCTTGAGCATGCACCAGTTGCGTGGATATGTGCACTACATAAATATACTATAATAATAATAATAATAATAATAATATCTACAACTGTTAAAAAGGACAGTGTGGTCAGATGTTAATGACAGATCAGATACATATATAACGGGATAAAAACCAGTGCATTTATGACGGAAGCCAATAAGATCAAAGCGAAATCGATCAATTCTGTGTCCAAACAGGCTTCACATTCATTATGTCCTTAAAAATAGTATTCAAGATAAATATCAACTCCCTGTTTAAATATAGTATCGAGCAGACCTCTCCCATCTACTGATTGTTAATAGAAATAATGGAACTGTTTGACGATGAATTACACTACCACTTCACACAGGTGTGGCTGGAAGCATGTTTGCAAGCGTTTTATTCACTGGGAGTTGGCCTAGGGATGATTGGCACTGCTGCCAGCTACAACAACTTCCATGAACCATGTCTCAGGTGAGTTACAAACACATCAGTGCGGTAACATGAAAAAGTATCAAAATGAAACGTCACATGATTAATTTATTAACACAACAGGATTGGTGATTACTTCTGCGCCTGTTACTAACAACCTCTTAAGACACAGGCGTTTGTTCCATTAATGCAATGTCAAGGAAACTTTCTGTAGGTATGAAGGCCACCTTCACAAATTACCGGTTGCAATATAAGGACAAGATGGGTATAAAACTGAATGTCTGAAAGTGTACAATTCTATAATCACAGAGACAGAGCATTCGTATGACAAGGTCTCGCAACAAAACGTTACATGATTGGCTGTAATTACATCCCAGAAAGTTGCACAAATCATCATTGTGAAGTTAGGTTTCATAGAGCTACGGTAGTTTATGTTCCGTATTTGGGAACGAAAGGGCTGGATGTAATATGCAAATCTTTTCAACACAGCGACGTGTTAATATTTGTTTATATATTGCGTTATTGAGGCGATTTGGACATTCGAAATTCACGTAAGTTGATTTGCAACTTTACCTGAACCAGTGTAAGCAGTAGATAGTGATACAGTTGAATGCTTTAAAAAGTGTGTGTTTATATTCACAGAGATAGTGTCATATTGACGATTATCTCTGAAGGAACCAGTATCTTCTCTGGCCTGGTGACGTTTGCTGCTCTCGGGGTCATGTCACATAAAACGGGTGTTCCCATTGAAACTGTTGTCTCAGGGGGTAGGTAATTTTTATTGTATTTACAAAAACAACAAAACACCGATTTTTAAGAAAGGGAAAGGGACGTGTTGGTAGTTCTCCAGAGCTATAAGGCTCGTAAAACAGTTTTTGATCCTGATGTTTTTTAAGGAATGCTTCTTGCTGAAACAATGTTTCATAAATAGTTTTCCGAGTCCAGTGGTGTATTGTGTTTGGGATATAGCTGAATCACGGGGCAAGAGATAATGCCACGCCTTAAGGTCACAGTATAAGGATTTTAATCATAAGAAATAACAATGACACCCGTTCCCTATCCATAACAAATCTCTGCTTAAGGCAAAGTCGAATTTATTTAACTCCAAATATTTTCTGAGCATGTGCTTATGAATCACTATCAAATAGAAATGATACTCGATGTTCGCGACAATGCGGGCATACCTTGCCCCACTTGTGGCACCAGTCATTAACAGATGCAAGGCTAGTTAATTGTTCACCTGAAAAGACATGGTAGCGTATATACAGTAGCGTATAGTACCAGTGAAAAAGGGAAGTGCATCACACATATTTTGTCACTGATACACTAAACTGTAACGTGTTCTTCACAAATCTACAATAAAACATTTTGAAAGCTTTACTGACAACTTGAATGCTACAACCTTGATCCAACAACATCTGACCAAGAGTCACGTGAGGCTCGATTGCACCTAAAATGTTGTTTAATGTACACAGCAAAGGCTGGAGGTAAACCACTCTGAATGGATCCAAATGCGATGCACATAAAGCAGTGTCGCTTTCAAGTTCAGATGGGTAAATCAGTCGAAGAGAATTGGCTATTTGATTGCTAATAAACGATAACAGATCATCGATACACCTTAAGCTTAACTTAAGTTAAAAGTACTTTGTTTTCATTTACAATAGGCAAACTGTTTGACACGGATGAGAAATACAGGCAAAGTTCTCAATTTTTCAGTGTTCATGATAATACTATATTGGGTAAGATACAAATTTCCGAATGAAAAATGGAAATGTCCCAATCTCCCATATTCTAGAGAATAAACATGAAGTTCAAGCCTGTACGACAGTTATCCAAAAGGTCACGGCAATTGCTAATAGCTTGAAGACGCTTGGCAAGATTATCCTTGCAACAAAGTACTTAGTTTCAACATTCTTCTGAATATATTGCTTTACACTGCATATTACGTCTCTATTGAAGGTCCAGGATTGGGATTTGTGACTTATCCTGACGCTCTCGCACAACTTCCGGTCCCTCAGCTGTGGTCATTCATGTTCTTTCTGATGTTGTTCATGGTTGGTTTGGATACACAGGTACAATATGAAGTGTTCACTACAATGTTTTAATTCATCACGACAGCTGAGAAAGGAACTGTGGTTCAAATATAAAATGGCAGAATATTGCTGCCCTTTGGGATTGGTTTTTCCAATTTAGAGCAATTCTCCAGCAGCCAAATTGAGTGAGTGTCAGTGCCTGGGGGTTCGGGATTTCAATTTATAACAGTCTCCATCAGTTTATTCTGACAGTAACTAAAAGGAGATATTGTCAGTTCCTAGGCATTAGAGCTTCCTGGTTAGATGAGGTCTCCATAAGCTTTCTGGTAGAAACCAAAACATCGCATTTGAATCATGAACTTGATCGAGTTTCAGATTCGATCATTCGATCTGGTTCTGATCTACACATATCCTGAAGAAGTCATAAACATTTTGTTTCTATACACAATATCAAACTGTGCCAGGACGCAAACGCACAAACAATAATTACTGATGGTCGAGTGCTTAAAAGTTCAGTGTATTATCTACGAGCAGCAATGTCATTGATGGAATATGTCCGAAGGCCGTGTTAAACGACATTTCAAACTCACTATCGCAACATTAACAATGAAATCCAGAGTAAGATATAACTGTCTGATGGTGATGTTCATGAACATATTACTGGTTTGCATGGAGCTATACCGTCCACTGTTGTCCTTCCAGTTCCTGAGTACTGAAGTCGTTATTACTGCCCTGATTGACCAGTATCCGCGACAGCTGAGCAAGAAGAGGATGTTTCTCACAGGAGGGTGCTGCCTGACAGTATTTCTGATTGGAATCATCTTCTGTACCCAGGTCACTATGCTTACCTGATGAACAATTCAGTAGGTCAAAACAGCCAGTGTATTTAACAATGCTTACGATCCAGTGACTCATGAAAACCAATATTGAAGAACATGGACAAGTTGTAATTAATGAAACAGTCGCTGTGGCAAGTTGTGAATATTCCAGCTTGGTCATTCATAGTAGAATGAACCCTGTTGGGAATATGAAAGCAAAGAGTTATGTATCATATCATGTATCTCTGACTGTAGCAGAAGCAGCAGCAGCAGCAGCAGCAGCAGTAGTAGTAGTAGTAGTAGTAGTAGTAGTAGTAGTAGTAGTAGTAGTAGCAGCAGCAGCAGTAGAAGTAGCAGTAGTAGTAGTAGTAGCAGCAGCAGCAGCAGTAACAACAGCAGTATTAGTATTGTGAGCAGTTCAATCAACACTTTATTTTAGTACAAAGGCCATCGGGCCCATATACATACAATTTCATACATTATAATACAATTTGCATATATGTATACACGCCCATCTGCATACATGTATACAGGTAATCTGAACATACAATACAGGTTAATATGGATAAAGTAGATAAAGATATGATATGATAATACAAAATTATAATATGGTATTTAATAGTATCAGTTGTGACAGTGACAAGCGCTAGTAGTAGTAGTAGTAGTAGTAGTAGTAGTAGTAGTAGTAGTAGTAGTAGTAGTAGTAGTAGTGACGACATTTACAGCAGCAGTATATGGACTGTCTTCGTAGTTACATCAGCATATGTGGCGGTGGTAGTGGTATATTGCATTAAAACCGTTGTACTAGTTGACGTAGCAGTTATGTCAACGGTAGGCGCATTATTTGTAGTTGCTGTGATAGAAGACGTAGGAACAGGGATCCTGGAGAAGGCAGCGGTACTGCCAGTAGTAAACGTAAAAGTGAGTAAGCGTTGTTGACCATAGTAGTATATATTGTTTGAAGGACGATATGAACTTGCTGACTTCCTGTTACAGGGAGGGCCGTACTTGTTTCAGCTGGTCGACTGGTATGTGTTGTCTCTCGGGCCCATGGTTATATGTACACTGGAGTGTATTGTCGTGTCGTGGATATATGGTGGGTACATCAATTTATCGGTATCAAGTGTGTATGCTTACTCTTAAAATTAACTCAATCGATCATGTAGTCATGATCAATTGTTTGTGTGTCGGTGGTCGTCGTCGCTAATGATATCAGTCACTGAATTGTCTGGTCCAGAATGGACTTCAGGTCACCATCAGAAAACTTTCTTTCTGAGTGTGGAGTGTACTGTTGTGTCGTGCATATATGGTGCATATATAGAGAATACTACACGAGGTCTCATTACATACGAATTATACGAAACGAGTGTCCTTCCTATGTTATCTGACCATAGGACGGTCACGAGTTTCGTATAATTCGTATGTAATGAGACCGAGTGTTGTATTTTATTTATTACCCACGTCTTACATGCATTGAATTTACAAAATAGCGTATTTTTGTTATTGTTATGGTTTCAAACCGAAACCGGTTCCATAAAGAGGTTGCGGAAGAATTTTGTTCTGTAGTACACTTTTGCATGACGTCACACTGTATTGACGTCACTACGCCATTCTCGTCTGTCCCCTTGGTAACCGACGTCACGATGCATGTCAGTTGTCATCGCCTCTCGTACAGCCTCCTATAGTAAACTACTCCGTAGCACCCCGTTTCTTGGTTTGCAACTGATTCACTCGGCTAACATCACTGGTGGAAACATTGCATTTATGTTTTCCGACGCATTACACGTCTCAGTTCGACTCACAATTAAACAGCGACACGGCAAAGTTCGCAATGTTTACCTTCCCACAACGCATCTAAGTTGTAGAATGAATGAATTCACGTGTTTGTTATGAATGAACAAGTAGTTCCGTCACAACGTGACCTAACTGAGAGGTCATCGGTTATCCAATCAAATCGTTAGAATCTCAGGTCAAGTCGTTACGCCACGGGTCAACGCGGTACGACACTCTGTGACGTCCGAGATTAGTATGCAACTACCCACACGTTGACCACGTGGGTAATAAATAAATTTATCGGCACCAAATGTGTATGCTAACTCTTAAATATATTCAAGGATCACGTGGTCTTGATTTAATTTTGTGTGTGTCAGGGGTCACCGTTGCTCACAAGTCAAAACATTGATTACACAACAGTCTCGTTTCCTGCTGACTGGGTTCCATCCTATTGCGCAACTTCCTACAATAACCAGACCAGAACTTTGAGATCAATTCATTCAACTGGATACATAAATATTAATCAGTTTTATTTGATACATCTAAGCACGTGTATATTGCAACACTACGCTGCTTCTAATCCTTGCAAACACGTCCTGCAGCGTGCTCTGTCGTACACCGTGCTCTGACAAACGGAAATCAGGAAATCATGGAAATCTCAAAACGAGACTCTGCCGCTAGAAAAGTTTGGCTCTCTGGTACGGACTTGATAGTATATCAATCACATTGTGCGTTACAGAACTACACTGAATAAGCGCAAATAACACATAACAGGTAATTAACCTATAGTACCATAGTCAGAAAGTTGGTAGAGTTCACGCATTAATAGAATTACACAAAATATCCTGTTGTGAACGCTAACTTACAATGTTTGTCTTCAATGTGAACATGTATATGTTCCGTCAGGTATAAGACGAATTAGTAAAGACGTTGAGATGATGATTGGCAAGCCACTGCCGATGCCTGTAAAGGTCCTCTGGGCTCTGATAACACCGTCAATCTTGATAGTAAGTACTATACAGTTGCACGGTACAATGATGGCGTTGAAGTCTCACAAACACGTATGATACATACTTGTGTAAGTTTACATGTCAAAGAGGCTCATCATTATTATAATAGTATATCCCTCATCAGAGTAGCGTTCTAACCACTACCACGTTGTATGTATATTTATAGTCTGTTACTGAGTGTCCTTGGACCTGTTTCATATCCAGATCACTTTCATCTTGACACTTCTCCGCTATCAGCCACCAACCTACGGCAAGTACAAGTTTCCTAACTATGCTTCTACAATCGGCTGGATTATTGCAGTGCTGCCCCTTCTACCAATACCTGTCTACATGGTCCTGACTGTAAGGAAGCACATGGCGACCAATTCCCTGAAGAAGGTAGCACACACTTGTTCTTAAACTGTATCGAATATTAAATATACATATTAACATCAACCCTGCATCGCAATGTTAAAATGAAATGTAGACTACGCTATGGGCTCAACTGAACTGTCCTACTCCTAGTCAGTGGTTGTCCTGCGCTGGTCCCCGTGGTTGTTTTTTGGAGTAAAAATATCGTTAGGTTCAAGTTTTAAGAAACATTCTCTGATCATTTTTTTCTCAGATATTTATTAACTTCTTTGAGTGGCTTTTTAGAAGCTGGAAAGTACAATATAGACAACATTTATGGATAGCAACTTGTTTATTTCGTGAGTGCAACGTTTCGATACAGTTTCTTGTACCGCTGTCAAGGAGGAATATATTGTATGTAAGTTGGCTTTTATTAATATGTAGTCTCGATATGCTGAAATACTGCCGATGTGGAATTTTAACCCACTCTCTCACTCATTCACCAACTCACTCCTGTTTTGGTCCAAACAGTATATGACACGACACGATGGCGAGATTTCGCCGTGCTTGTTGATTGGCAAATGTCCACAGTAAGACCAAGAATATGAAGTGTGCTGAATGGAAATTGATTACTATAACTTTGTGGCCCATGCAGGAAGCATATGTACTATAGTCCCCATGGTCTCTAGTATGGTGATCTACCTTCAGTTGTTGGCAATCTATAGCCTGTTTTAATAATTTACTGTAATCTATAGTTAAACTGTTTTAGTTTGTATTACTAGTTTTAGATTCATATCTGTGATATTCTAGTTTCTTTACTGTCCTTTGTTGACAGGTTTTTATAATTTACCATTAAATAGTATGTATAACAATTAATTGTTCTCGCCACGATATGGCTGAAATATTGCCGATGTGACGATATATTTTAACTCACTCACTCACTATAACTTTGTTCTGAATAGACCCGTACACAGCATCAGTCATACAGGGTCATCCAAGCCTGATCTTGTCCTTTATGATATGGCCAATAAAACAAAGTGCTTTACATATACATGATATTGTTGAGCTCTCAGGTGTATTAACTATTAGCACAGTTGCTAAAGTGTGGATCGGGCGACGATCTGAGAGTATAGGGCGCTTTACCCGAGACCCCAAAACTGATGATTAGATTCCCGATTGAGCTCGATTTCTGTGATGACAGTTATCAGTGTTGTGTGTTCTCTTTTACAAATGTACTAACTGTAAACGCTTTAAAATGTTTATAACGGATACGTTGAACAGCAGGGTAACGGAAACGTCAATATATGTTTCCAGTTTGCAAACTAAGTACAGATGAAAAATCAAACCGACAAGCCAATTTACATATATGTGCTAATGAAACGACATGTGTGATAGGAATTCGCTTTCGTTGACAGAGTGTACGTCTTGCCTTGAGACCTGATGATGAATGGCGACCTGCGAAATCCAGAAACCGGCAGGATTCCATTGATGAGTCCACAACATAACAACCACCTCTCAAGACTACGCTCGCGGTGCTGTTCAAACAAAAATATGGAACTTTAACGTTTCAAGCCGTCTTTATTATTGACTAAGTGCACTAACAGTCCATCGCGACAATGTTAATATACTATAATTGCCACCTCTCAAATACGGCCCATCATTCCCATATTACCATTTGCTGATACACAGAAAATGAAGAGGCATTTTCTGTAGGTTGCGTTTATACATGTATGTTCTGTTTATACGCTTTCCTTTGTTGTAGCTATACAGACTTATACAACATATGTGAGTGAGTGAGTTAAACAACCCTTCCTCGCGCTTTATAACCCTGAGAAAATTATTTGTCAAGCGAACGATATCAGGGCGTTCAAAGAGTACTGACCTGTTCTCCCCCGACATTTTCTTATGACGATACCCGAAAGAGTGTAAGAGTCGCCAGAGTGTGTACTTTGATACTCTGAGGTTGTGTTCTTGCTTCAAATGCTTCTTTAAAATTTTCAGCAACATGTATTTGTTTGACTGCCTTACAAGGTTCTTTTGAAAGTTGTCCAAATGTTTTAATTTGTGTGATTTTGACACGACCCCTACCTGCTTCGCATCACCCTCACAATGTTTGTGTTCCAGAACATTTGTCAGTACCCTTGCTGATACTCCTAAAGCTTTTGCTGCCCGCTTACGGAATTTATTAATGGCATAAAATGTTTTGCCACTTTCGGCTTCAGCACGGAAAAAATCGTACACTTTAATCATCAACTGTTTCACGTCAGCATTCAACTTCATTTTCAGGCATGTGTATCCCTTGCACAACGAGATAGTGGCTGTTCCGTTTCTGCGGTTTCACCCCGCCACGACAGATAACAACTTTTGCGTTTTCAATGATGATAGTTTCTGAAACAACTAATTTGGTGGAGTCCGGAAAATTTTTAAATATAAGAAAGCTGTTGGGTATTAGTAAATGATAAACTTGTGTACTATTTATATTTATGTGGCAATTTTGTACAATGATAAAATTTGCAGTTCATCGGTCCGTTTGTGACTCAAACGGACTGTAGGGGTTGTCATGTCATCTCTTTTCACCGCGTTTTCCCGCTCGCTTTACTAGGTTCTGGGAGGAGCGTTGTTCAGTTCTGTGATTCGTAGAACTGAATAACTGAAGATTTAATCGAATTTTGTATTGTCGAATTTGCAACTGAAAAGGCAGCTTCATGTTTAGAATACAAATTTGAGCCTTGTTCAACGTTTAAAACCAAGTAAGGGGCAATGTGACCCTGAAGAGATTATGTTACTGTTGGATTGAGAAAAGTGTCATATCTCAAGACGACACTCAAAATAGCCCTTCAATTCGATTTATGACTTGTTTTGCCATAACACACACACACACTGTAATCTTTGTTGCTTAACGCTGCGCACAACAATATTCCAGCTATATGGCGATGGTCTGTAAATAGTCAAGTCTGGACCAGAGAATCCAGTGATCAATAACATTAGCATATGCGCAATTGAAATATCATGACATGAGAGTTCTGTAAACATTAACTTCTGAGTTGATATGGCCGTCAGATCATGATAATGGTCACATGACATCAACCCCCGTATTGTCAAATCACGATGAAGTATGTTCCCCAATCATAACTGAATTTTATATACATGTACTGTATTTGTATTAAAAAGTGAGTGAAGCACGGGCCTTTCTTGACGTGCGTAAATCCCAGATCAGTTTACAAGTTCTCTGAACGAATTGCATTATTTAGTAACGTCTAACTTTGGAACGTTTGTGTTTTGTTACATTTATTCAGTTCTTCAAAAATCTGTATTTGTAACGAATAAAAGGTAATATTCAATTTGGCCCATTTCATAGTTTTCATCAGCGATCGACCATTTTATATTTCGAGCCTAAATATTAACACATGAAAAACACCTTGCAACAATGTTAGTCATCAATCGTGTCTTATTCCACAGTCTGGAAGCATGAGCATGTTTTAAAGCAGTTTTAGGATTATTTATTATTTTGATCAAATCCCTCGGAATAAATAAATGGTTGATCTCTTGTGGTTAATAGATGATTGCAGAAGAAAACTCATTATGAAAAAAAAACCATTCAAGTCAATATGAACGGCCATTACAAGCCTATGGATCATCTCTGCATATAAAATTAAGTTCATTCAGAAGATCGCAGAAGAATCTCCGTTCGTCATCAAACTTACAAAGAGAAAGAATGTACTGACAAATATAATTATATTGCTTTGTTACATGGTGGGTAGTGTGAGGTCTTCAGCAATACAGCACAATACATTGCTTTGGTGATGCTCGGCTCAACGTATAAAGATTAATGGAGACGTCTATAGTGTAGCGTTTATATGCTTACTATATGCTACAAACAGAATAAAGGTTAGTAAAAACATCCATACACGAAGAAAGTAAAGGAGAACTTAAACATCTTGCCTCACTTTAGAAAAATAAAACGTTTCGAGTGATGCATAGGACCTCTTATCACACGGTAGTACTGTAAAGTTGGTTATAAAACTAGACTTTAATGTAAGAGGCCAATTATATCCGTGGAAAGTGTGCATCTAGGAAATGCGTGCATATGTTGAAATTACCATACGTTTTAATATGCAATAAAGTTATTTGGTATGGACGAAATGTCTTTCCTTGTCAATACCAGGGATGATGCATGTATAGGGAAAGGACATTGATCACCAACACTATTACAAGTTATGGCCTGAGTTGGAACGAAAGGGACAGGGAAACAGTCATCTTTCAACCTTCAGACCTGAAATCAACGCATTAAACACTAATAGGCCTTCAGACTGTCACACGTGTCACTCAGTACCGTGTATACCTACCAGGCACATCAGTACACGCCCTAACACGAAAGCAGATGATGTAAAACGTCTGAACAGAACAATTGACTGAAAGTGTTCTCCCAAATATAACATAATTTATGTTCTCTATGTCAATATTGTTGAACAATAACAGTATCAAGATCCATCTTCAGACAATCATTTCTTTAGCGCTTTGCTCTGTCTCGCTCGAACGTCATCAAGACTGCGACGAACTTAACTAAATCCGTGTTACATTCACGCGCGATTTAATTTACGGGTTTAATTTAGAGGTAACTACAGTTTACATTCTCAACACTATAATTTGCCTTTTCGTTGCGTTTATTGTGCTTTCTGTATTTTCACTGCTTGAAGTCAAACATACAAACATGTTTCCCTCACAATCAAACAAGCATAATTAACAAACCACCATGTTACAAATTCGAATATATATATATATATATATATATATATATATATATACCTTTCTTCAGGTGCGGCACGTACGCACGAGCAAAACATGAATTAGTAAACTGCATACCCGAAACATGTAAATAGGTCACAGATTTCGACTCCGACATTGTTCTCAGTCTCCACTACAAAACAATATAATGTACCCTACCTCTTGTTCTATATCTCTTTTCCATCTAAATATACCCAGAATATATATTAAGTTAACACCATAGCAAGTAGTATTTAAAACGTATCATATAGTATATCAAAGGTACTCGACCAAATAATGATTTCTTATTAAATGTTGTTCATATTTATTACCAATGTTATATGTCGCTCTGATATATTTGAGGTGGTTATTGTTTATCGGTTGTCTTGACATCTTGGTGGTGGTGGTGGTGGAATTGGGTTTAACGTCGTGCTTGAGGATATTTCGCTCATATGACGACGTGCATGCGTGTGTATGTGTATGTGCGGCTGCTTGTACTAGCCCAGACTTAAGCTGGTTTTATAGTGCTAGCCCACTGAGATACCATGCCGAAGTGAAGCATGAATACCCCACTCAGACACATTATACGGACTCCGAGCCGACCAGTCCTTGTTGTACCCATTAATGCCGAGCGCCAGGCAGGGACCAACAAGTACCATGTTTTAACGTCTTTTGGTATGACGTGGTCGGGGATCGAACCCGCGACCTTCCGCACTCCGGGCGGACGCTCTAACCACTACACCACGGAGGCGGTCCTTGACATCTTGACTTATGAACGACAGAGGCAGGCATCCAATGGGATTAACCTGTTATACCTTTCAGGTCGGTCGTTGCACACAAGTTAATTTACACTTACCAGGATTTCTTAAACGTAGTATTTTTGTGATTTTAATTTTGGCTGAAATTTCCTACCATCGCCAGAGACTGAAGGGATAGTATAAATCCAACTAGGGTCCATGCAGGTAGCAAAGGTACTGTAAGTCCCCATGGTCCCTAGTATGGTGATCTACCTTCAGCTGTTGGCGATCAATAGCCTGTTTTTATATTGCATCATCCTCAACAGTTAAACTGTTTTAGATTTGATCACTAGTTTTAAATATGTATCTCTGATACGCTAGTTGTTTTACTTTCCTTGGCAGGTGTTTATAATTTTATTCACGATATGGCTGAAATATTGCCGATGTGACTTAAAATCGTAACTCACTCACTCACTCACTTACCCTCGTGACCCGCCATGTTCCATCAGATTGTATCGCTGTGTCAGATACTTACCCAAGCGACATTAGATTATGTTGCTATGACAGATAGCCATGTTCCTTCTGATCCTAACCGGAAAATCTAAACTTAAATTCAAGCGGAAACCTGTTTGATTTTCTACTTTCAGGTGTTACTGATTATTTCGATGTTTTTACCTCGTGCCATGTTTGGTATCACTTCATATTTGACTGCAGTGTACACAATAACTCTGCTACTTATGGGTGTTGTTAAACGCTGATGTAAGAAAGAATATTATATGTGGCTTTGCGATGCTAATAACTCTTTGTGTGTATGTGTTGTATACAAACGAGCTCTATGTAAGCATTTCGAAATCGATTAATTTCCATAGTAACGTTTTATCGTCTGATGATGCAACCCATTCGCTGCTTGGAGAATAGGCACATTCCAGGAGCGAGACAACACTTGAACAGCTGATGATTCTGTCGGGACCAGTACTAGTGATATAGTTACTATAGTTACTATA